TCCTGCCCAGGGTGGCTTTAAACTGATCCTCAGATCTCATCCTCTGCATTAGCTAGGATTACAGGCACAATCCACCAGTTCTGGGCTCTTGTGCATTTCTGAGTGAAAATGTAAAAGAAGATGGCTACTATGGAAGACGGATTGTTCTTCAAAAGGCGAAATTGGCCATTGGTGGCTCACATCTAATCCTATCTATCAGATCCAGAGGAGCTTAATTTGAAGGCAGTCTGAGAAGCCAAGTCTGTGAGACTTCATCTCCAAAATAGCCAGCATATAGTGGGGCTGGAGGCTTGGGTTATATGGTAGAGCACCAGTCAAGAAAGCAAGCAAAGTGAGCACAAGAACTTGAGTACGAAACTTGGTACTGGGGAAAAAGAAAAAAGAAAAAGAGAAATGGGAGGCAAAATGGCAGTTTAGAAGAATCTGTCATTTTCACGACATGAATGAGAAGACTCCTTTGACAGTGAAGAGACTAGAGTTTGGAGAAAGTGAGGAAGAGAAGCAGAAACCACAAAGGAGATGACAAGAAGACAGAAAAGCACAGGGGGAGGCGAGGGGGACACACAGAGGACAGGAGTGAGGAGTTTAAAGTCCATCCTAGCTCTTTGTAGAGACAGAGGAATCTAAAGATACCATTACACAGTGAAAGAGATGGCCCTGTTGGCCGACTGCCAGTCCTAGCTGCAGGAAAAGCCCACACACCCTACAAGCTTAATTTCAGTACAGTGATTTGTGAGGCTGCACCTACTCCAGTATGGAAGGCCAGCCTTGGTGAAGAAAACAAATTCTGTTGAGGACACTGGGAAAGAGAACCCTTGCATGCTGTTGGTGGGAATGTAAATTCCACTGTGGAAATTAGTATGGAGGTTCTTTAAAAAAATAGCTGGGCACACACTTGTGGCTTACATCTGTAATCCTAGTTATTGAAGAAGCTGAGATCTGAAGATTATGGTTCAAGGCCTGTCTGGGCAGGAAAGTCTGTGAGACTCTTATCTCCAATTAACCACCAGAAAACCAGAAGTGGCGCTGTGGCTCAATGTGGCAGAGCACTAGCCTTGAGCAAAAAAGCTCAGAGACAGTTCCCAGACCCAGTTCAAGCTCCATGACTACCTTTATGACCATGCCTTACCACTCTTCGGTGTTTATCCGAAGGAATGTGAATCAACAGATGTGAAAGGTAACTGCATATCCATGTTTATTGCAAATGGTGGGATCAGCCAACATGCCCAGCAAGCAATGAATGAAGAAAGAAAATATGAAATGGCCATCCCATGGACTATTATTCAGCCATAAAGAAAAATGGAGTCATGCCATTTGTAGAGAAGGGTGGAGGTGGAGATCATCAAGTTGATTGAGGTAAACTGAGTCAAATACCACAAGTTTTCACTCATTTGGGTAATGTAGTCTTTAATGATGTATAATTAATGATATAGAATTAAATAATATATAAATGATATACAGATACACATGCTTATATTTACATATATACACACATAACTGTGGGACTCTTAGGAGCATGAGAGGGGAGAGGGAGAGAATGATAGAAGGTGAATAATATCGAAATACAGTACATCTATGTATGACGACAGTAAAAGGACCCTCACTGAAAGCTGTTGAACAATTCAGAGGTGGCAGGAACAGGGAAAGAGAGCAACAGAGGGAATTTTCTGATTAAAATATAATTTATGCATCTGTGAAATACTGTGGTGAATTGGTACAATTAATATGCACAAAAAGAGAATGAATGTCAGGAGAGTAAACCCGATTCTGTTGCATGGTGGGTACCAGCAGGAAGGGGAGGTTGAGAGAGGATGAATATGCAACAGTGAAACCTATTGAAATTGCGCTTAAAAGTGGGGAATGAGGAAGAATGACAGATGGGCTGCAGCTGATAGAGTACACTTTATATTTGTGTATAGAAATGCAATGATTGGGTCCACCCGCTCAGCCTCTGGGGGTGGAGTGTACCTCACGTCCATCATATAACACCTGTTATCATTGTTACCCAGGAGGGGAGCCCACTCTGTGTGGGTGTAGGGAGAGGAGGTTGCTGAGCTATGGAAGGTACTGGGACCCTTCCAGTCCTTGAGAGGGACTTGGCCAAGGAAGGCCATCCTGCTGTCTTAGGTGAACCACCAGCCTTCAAAGCCCGGGCAACCTGGCCATCCTGGTCTGCATTCTTGGCAGCCTCCTTGCAGGCCTCTGTGGTTGCCGAATGGTCAAGGGCGCCCTCTGGTGGTCACATGATGCCACCACTAAAGCAAGCTGGCTGAAGGACTTCAATCCAGGACAGGACAAGGAGGTAGCAAAGAACTTTAAAAAGATGGCCTTTGTAGTCACTCACATGCAGAGTGGCTGAAGTTCTGATTCTTTCATTTGTTCTCCTAAAGATATTACTTAAGCAAGTCACCTGTCTTAAGCCCCTAGGTCCTCACCTGCAAAAATTGTAGCAAAGCTTCTGCCTCTGGCTGACAATTAAAGTTGATAAAGAATAAAATGTAGCTGGGCGCAGGTGGCTCACACTTGTAATCCTAGCTACTCAGGAGGCTGAGATCTAAGGACTGCAGTTTAAAGCCAGCCCAGGCAGGAAAGTCTGTGAGATGCTTATCTCCAATTAACCACCAGAAAATGGGAAATGGCGCTCTGGCTCAAGTGGTGGAGTGCTCAGGCCTTGAGCTGAAGAGCTGAGACAGCACCTAGGCCCAGAGTTCAAGCCCCATGACCAATTTAGAAAAAAAAGAATAAAATGTGTTAAACAGTATTAGGCAGAGAGTGACTGATAGTAACCAACAGGATGACCTTGTTTCCATTGCTGTCTATATTGGGACAGTGAAGACAGAAATGATTCACTGTATACTTCACAGAATGGTCTCATTTGTTTGTTTATTTATATTGCTTGGGGGGCTTGAACTCTGGGCCTGGATGCTGTCCCTCAGCTCTTCAAGGCTAGCACTCTACCACTTGAGCTACTGTGCCACCTGGTTTTCTGGTGGTTTATTGGAGATAAGAGTTTCACGGACTTTCCTGCCTGGGCTGGCTTTGAACCATGATCCTCAGATCTCAGCCTCTTGAGTAGCTAGGATTACAGGGGTGAGCCACCAGCGCCCTGCTCAGAATGGTCTTTCAGGCAACAGTCAGTTATTCAGCAACTATTTGATGTAGATGCCCACAGTGTTTTTTATTTTACTTTTGTGCTGGTGCTGTGGCTTGGTCTCAAGGCCTGGGTGTTGTCCCTTAGCTTTTTCTCCCAAGGCTGGTGCTCTACCACTTAAGCCATAGCTCCACTTCTGTGGAGTTAACTGGAAATAAGAGTCTCAAGGACTTTCCTGCTCTGGCTGGCTTCAAACCTCTATCCTCAGATCCCAGCCTCCTGAATAACTATGATTACAGGTATGACCATGGGCACCTGTGCTTACAGAATTTTTGACTCCATCACCTTATAGTCAGTTCTCTATAGAGTTCCAGGTAGGAGATACACCCCAGCTGGTGCTCAGACTGAGGGAGCGGAGGCTGGCCTATATCAGGCAGACAGCACCCACTAGTGTTCATATGCTGCCAGGTCACCCCCTGCTCATTTCTTGTCTTCCTGGGTTTCAGGTCTATGGTGTGGGAAGCCAGGATCCCAAGCCACAGAGCAAAGAATTAGAAAGACCCAGATTCTGGGATTTCTAGCAGAGTCTTTCGACATTCAACTGAATTAGTTGGTCTGGCGTCAGTTTCCATCATCTTCAAAATGGGTGATTATAAAATAAATCTCTCTGTATACACAGGTGAAGCCCAGAAGGGATGGGGGGGGGGGAAATGTGAAAGGATTAGAGTAGGATCATTTCTGGTGAGATGTACCATAGGAGCTCAAAATGGAGTGGATCCATACAGGGAGCTGTGGACAGGAGCAGGAGTCCAGGATGAAGCTGCCGGGTTGGTACAGCAAACTCAGTCCCACACTCCCTCCCTCCCCCTGTGGGGACCTCAGCCACTTGATGCCCTCAAAGGCAGCTGTCCTCCCCACTCTAGGCACAGAGAGAATCCTGGGAGAATAGCCAAAGCCATCAGCCAGGGCCTAAGGCTGGCCTTGTGTCCAGGTCAAAATGGGAACCAGACAGGCTGATCAGCAGCTGTGATGGAATCCAGGCATGCCTGATCTTCCTCACCTAATAACATGGGTGTACACAAGACAATAGCGAGGGTAGAGAGTGCAGAGGCGCTTTGTGACCAGCCCTATGCTAAGTTGCTGAACCATCCCATGCCTCAGTGTCCCCATCAATAAAATGGAGAGAATAAGATTTGCATCAGCTGTGAGGATTAGAGGAATGAAAACCTATGCTAAAGGTTTGGATGGGTCCCTGACCCAAAATGTACTTGGTCTTGTTCGCCCTTGTAGCATTATCCCATTTTTTTTGGAATCCCACCCCTCTGTCCTTCCTAACACATTGCACTCAAGTGTGCACACAGGTCAGACCAGGCACCTGGACATTAACTTCTCGGAGTCAGGCAGTTCCATCTGAAGATTGAGTTCTTCGGCTTTGGGGCTCTTGTTATTTATTTCTGTCATCTTGGCTACTAAGAATCTCAAGGAATATCTAGAAATCAGGTTCAGGAGCAAGGGAGCACAGGGAAACCAATCCCTGCAGTGCCTATCAACTCCAGCAGAGGGCAGTCGGCACCAGCCTGGGTAGAAGCAGCTCACAGATGCTTTCTAAACTCACAGATGGAAGAATTTCTTGGCACAGCTCTTCCCTAGACCCTTGGCTCTCCTTACTGGAAGTGGGATCTCATGCCACACATTCACCTCAGTTTTCTAAAATAGATGTTATCATCTCTGCCCACAGCTCTGAGGTATTCCCTGCCTCAGTATCCCGAATTGTACCCTCTCATCCCAGGGTGATCCTTCAATCCTTGGGCCAATAAGGGGCTTTACAAGTCCAGTCAAGGCCTTGCTCATCCCTTCCCAACAAAGCAGCATGAATGGAAGACCAAAAATAAAAATCATCGCTTTATTGTTTAGTGAGCTGACTTGGAGGGACAGGCAGAAGTGGGGCATGGAGAGAACTGTCCAGTTTTGAGCTACCCCAAACCCCTGTTATTGTGTATAAAACATGAATGTTACAAAACTTGTATAGAAAATAGGTCATCAAAACAGCAGACCTGGAAGAGGGCTCAAGGCACCTAGGAGGCTGAGAAATGGTCCAACCTGGTCGCAGGTGTGGCTGGGGTTCTGGGGGGCCAGGGGCTGCACCCTGGCCTTCTGGACCCATGGGCCAAACACACTCTCCCCCAACCCCTACTTAATAAATCACTGCAAAACTGTCCCCAAAAGGAACACAACTACCAGTCAAGGCACTACCAGAAAGAAAATGGGCTGAGCTGAGCCCTGAGCAACCCTTCCCTGGGGCCCAGGCCCGGGGGGCAGGGACACCCTTGTTTCCAAGGCCTTGCAGTGTGGACCCAAGAAGCATCCCTGTTGGGAGACTCAGACTGCCCGCTGTGGGTCATCTCACACAGGTGCATCCGGCCTGGGCCTTGGTCTGTGGTAGGGCAGAGGGGCCTCAGCGTGGTCCTGTCCAGCTGCAGTGGACTGGGAGGTGCTGTCCTTCCAGGTCCTTCTGGAGCCACTGTCCCAGTCCATGCCCTAGCTGGGGTAGCACAAGCAGCATCCGGTGCCCGAGGCCTCCACACCAGGCTTGGCGCCAGGGCCCAGGAGCCCATCGGTGACAGAGTATTCCCTGATGATGTCCTCCACTCGGGTGATGTAGAGGAGTGTCAGCAGCACCCCCAGGAACTGAGAGGGAGCAGAATCAGTGAGGGCCTGCTGGGCGTTGGAGTAGCCCTCCTCAGGAGTCTCCAGCCCCTGGAAACCCAAGCAGCCCAGCAGAGGGAGCCCTAAGAAGTCCCCACAGTGCAGACCACCTCTGCCCCTCCTAGGAGACCCCAGAGATCACCCCATATCCCACCAGCCAGGAGCCAGCCCCTACAGTGGGACTCTGCTGCCACCTCAGCCTGTGATGGGACCTTGGGCAAGGCATTTTAGCTTGCCCAGCTTCAGTTTCTTCTTCTGTAAAATGGACATGATGACCACACTCACCTCATGGAGATCGGAAATAGAGCCCATGAAGAAGGTATTGATAAAAGCTAACAGTGCCCTTAGTCCTGTCCCTCCAGCCCTCAGCCCTCCAGGCCTTCTGCCCACCTGGGGGAGCAGGATGCCTAGCAGGAGGCCCGCCATGATGGTGTAGTTGTCCATGAACCAGATGAGCACGGCGTTTGTGCATCCGCGCACGTGGATCACGTTCTGCACACTGAGGCGCTGCACAGGAGGGCACTGTCAGCTTGCCGGGCCATAACCACCCTGCCCAGCCCCTCACCTGCACTGGGCCCTCTCATTGTATGGGGCCTGGGAAGATGGCCCTAGACCATGGTTCTCCTAACACTGCTCTTAGCGAGCACTGGTGACATGGATAAATAGAGCACTGAGGATTTATAGCACAAAACGGCTCCCATGGGTTGAGAATGGTGCTAGACTAAATCTCAGAGCTGCAGCAAAGATCACCCACTGGGACCCAGCCCCCAGAGAGAGAGAAAGAAAGAGGCCTTGAACTAACTGTGCATTTCTAATAAGGTCTGAGGGGGATGTAGGTAAGGCTGGACCACATTCGCAATTTTATAAATCACAGCTCAGAGACATCTCAGACCACCATCATTTTAACTCTCTCCCCACCCTCCAACACCTTCAGGACTTTCTTTCCTCTGGAAACTGCAGGGTCCCAGGCAAAGAGAAGTACATGCTTCTTTTTTTTGGAGGGGGGGCAGGTCCGGTCGTGGGCCTGAATTCTGGGCCTAGGTGATGTCCCTCAGCTCTTCAGCTCAAGGCTAGTGCTCTACCACTTGAGCCACAGTGCCACTTCCGGCTTTTTTCTTTTTGCTTATGTGGTGCTGAGGAATCGAACCCAGGGCCTCAGGCATGCAAGACAAGCGCTCTACCACTGAGCCACCTTCCCAGACTACATGCTTCTTAAGGACAAAATGAAGCTGGCACTGCACAGGGCTGACCACTGGTGGGCAGGCCCAGGGGTGCCAGGCATACCCTGGCAGGTCTGCCCCTCCCTGGGGTTGGGGCAGGAAGACTTTACCTCCTTGTCAATGGTTTTGTAGCCACACATGGTGTTGATGACATCTGTCTGAAACAGAAATGCATCATTGCTGATTACCCGGTGAGCAGATGAAAACACTGAGGCTGCTGTGCACTGTGTGTCTGGTGTGGGTGCTGCCAAGCTTTCCACACAGGCAGCATTTGTTTTGTTGTTGTTAGAGAATAAAACCCAGGTGAGTTTGCCATTTTTTTATTTTTGGTCGGTCGTGGGGCCTGAACTCTGGGCCTGGGCGCTGTCCCTCAGCTCTTCAGCTCAAGGCGAGCGCTCTACCACTTGAGCCACAGTGCCACTGCTGGCTTTTTTCTGCTTATGTGGTGCTGAGGAATCAATCCCAGGGCCTCGTGTGTGCAAGGCAAGCACTTTACCACTGAGTCACCTTTCCAGCCTGAGCCTGCCTTTGAGCAGGTTCTGAGAGCCCAGTGAGGCACCATGGGGAGGCAGTGGTCCAGGAACCCAGAGAAGTGGGCACTGCCAGCCTCTTGCTGGAACTCCCCCCCCCCCCGAGCCATTCGCTCTCTGCTGATGTGGCTCCTGCCAGGGCTGGAGTGGACCACTTTACTCCACTGGCTCTTAGGCAGGGTCCCAGATGTGGTTTACCTGAGGGCACGGCTGGGCTCCTGGCCACACTTCCTGCCCCTGCCACAGTAGCCTGGCCATCAGGGGGAGCCGAGAAAGCTGCCTGGAGGGAGAGCTACAGGGCTGGGGAGGAGATTTGTGCTGTCATCTGCTGGTTATGTTAGTTCAGGCACAAGGACACCTGTGGCTGGGCCTAAACTCATCCCCAACAAGTCCCAGCTCAGGTGGGAAAAGGCTAGCGGAGGCTCCTCCCACCTTTACCTGGGCCCTGTGAGGTAAGGTACAGCTTGTGATCCTTCAAAGGCACCACAAAGCGAGTGAGGAGTGAGGAGACCCAGGCCAGGGCGTGGCATCAGGCATCACTTCCCTGCCATACAGAGCAGGGGGACAATGAAAGAAACGTCTCTGGTTCCTCATGCAAAGGCCTGGAATGAGCCCACCTCATGGCAGCTTGGGACACAGTGCCGCAGTCACGTGTCACACATGTCAGCACATACCATGGCTGGGGTAACAAAGCTTACAGCCCCTGTCCCAGCGATGGGAAGAAAAGGAGGGGAAGGGCTTGGGCCATCACCGGGTTATTTAAATGTCAGGGCTTGGCGTGTGGAAGAACAACTTCCTCATTCCATTGGCCCTGGCCTCTTAGTTTGGTCCCTCCAGCACCTCAGCCCTAGGATCAGCCCCTGCAGATCTCTGGTAATCTGACTGTGCCGCAGCCCAGAGCACTCCCCTAAAACAGCAGCTGAGCTTGCAGAGCCGCTCCGGCCCAGCACCCTGAGCTTGGCGGGGCTCCCAGCTCCAGGGCGAGGCCCCTGCCCACAGCTGCTCCACTTAGGTTTGGGCAGCGGGCAGAAGGGCGCAGATGTCAGAGACTCCATGACTGCTCTGGGCATGAACAATCACAAAGCTTCCTGCCCTGCCCCAACCCAGAGCCAGGCCATGTCTTCACAGACTCGGATGGGCAAACAATGAGCACACAGCCCAGCATGCCAAGTGACAGGGGAGGTGTCCGTCAGGAGGCTGGTGCTGGGGAGAGGTGGAGGATGGCATTCACCTCATCAGATCCCTTCTTCCAAGCTGCAGATGCTCCCTGGGACTTCAAGGCCAAAGTCACCAGAGATGCCCCTAGCCTGGGCCTGGTTCTGCTTAGAGCTGATGCAGCCCCTCTGCTGGTTGGCCCAGGGCTCCAGACTGTGGCTCTGTACCAGCTGCCTGCTTTGCTACCAGCCCTGCCAACCATGGGCAAGATATGTGGTCAGTGCCTCTGTTTCCTCATCTGTAAAGTGGGTACAGTTATAGCTCCTACCTCCTGGACCTGATAAGGGCTGAGTTAACACAACCGCGCAGCCCAAGCTGGTTGCCCTTGGTGGGAGCCTTTCCTGAGCTCAGAAAGGCTTTGCCTCTGCCCACCCTGACTCCCACAGTCAACGTGGCCAGCGTGCCCCCGCCCCAAGCTACCTTGTTCCTGAGGCAGCAGGTGTAGGGCACCCCACAGGCCAGGGGTCCAGGGGCGCTGCAGTCATGGTACTGGTTTTTGCTCCAGTCTCGGTAGTCCTCCCCGCCGCAGCACTTGAACTAAGGAGGAAAACACGCAGGAGAGAGGAGCTGCCGCCACTGCCCAGGCCATGGTGGGCAGCGATGGTGCTTCTCTGATCACTGGAGCCCCTCCTCTATCTCCTGACCCCTGGGACGGGGCAGCTGGGAAAAACAGACTTTACAGCCTCAGAGACCAGGTCCTGGGAGAGCTGATCACTACTTTACACTGACCAGGGGGACCCAGGCCCTGCCCCAGGCTTTCTCATCTCTGCCCGCCACCCCTCCTCCCCGCCCCAGCTCCCGCTCCTGGGGGAGGGCGGCATGCAGCTCTGTGGAGGTGCTGATGTGTGTGGTGTCTCATCCTGTGCTCCAGATGACAGGGGTGAGCAAGGGCAGCAGAGAGGCTAAGTACTTGATGAAAAGGCTTAGGAAGGGGGTACTGAGTCCCCAGACATGGAAAGAAGGAGAAAGCAATGGGGGCCATTAGTTGGTGGGCCAGCAAAGACTGCTGCTCTGGGGAAAGACCATTTCATCTGACATCCAAATCAGAAAAAGCCAGACAGCCCGTGCGAGGGCCCTCTGTATTTCACCTGCCAGGTCAAGGGCAGCAGACACGTCTGGAGCAGAGTGAGCAAGAGTGGAGGCCTGAGGTAGGGAGGAAGCAGAGGAGTGTGTAAAGGCCCCAAGGTACAGGAAGCGAGGAACTGGGGTCAAACTCCAGGAGCAGCAAGTCCAGCAGGGACCGGAGGTGGCAGAAGCCACTCCCCTGAAGTCCCCACAGTGCCTTTTACCCATCAATGCCTGTCTGCACTCAAGGGGCATTTGCTCTGTTACCAGATAGACCCATGTTCAAATCCTCCTACCATACGCCCAGCTGGGTGCCAGCAGGCAAATGGATCAGCCTCTCCGGGCCTCACATGCTTATCTGTACAACCAGAGAAGCACTGGGCAGCTCCACACAGCTGAGCCAGGATTACAAGGAGGTGCAAACGTCCAGGGAGCATTAGTCACTTGTACCCCCATCCCAAAGAAATGAAATCCCCCCTGCCAGCTAAAGGCTGTTTCCAATGAAAACATTTCTTCTGCTTTTCCAGCCGGGGTTGGCAGGCTGGCCCAGCACAAAAAGCCTTCCCCTGCTGCACCTGTTCTGCCCACGAGGCTGGGAGCCAGGGGCCCTGAGGTGGTAAGAGCTGAGCACCACCAAGGGCAGCACAGGGAGCCTGCTGAGTCCCCAGATCAGCCCCAGGACACGCTGCTTAGGATGACTGGGCCAACAGTCCAAACTGTCCTCAGCCAGGAGAGTGCGAGACTACCCCACCCTGCCTGCCCTGCTTGAAGGGATCCCTTTTAAAAACCTCAGGGCAATGCCAGGAGAAGGGCTGGTACCCGCCCCAATACAGCTGGAGCCAGACCCTAAGCCTCAAACTCATGGCTGTGGAAGAACATGGGGGACTGAAGCAGCTCCTGGCACCTGGGGGCCAGGCAATGCAGACTTGGGACTGAGGAAGGCCAGCCTGTCCCAGGCAGAGGACCCTGGCAACCTGGGGCCCAGCCCTTGCTCTCGGTGGGCTTGAGAGGGGGACTGTAACCTGGACAGGAAAGGTAGGGGCAGGTAAGGTAGGGACAGCTAGGCCTGGAACAGGAAAAGGACAGAGATAGGCTGTGAATTTGGGTCTGGGATTCCCCATTGTGCCAGATCAGCCATGACCCACCCTAACTCCCAGCCAGGCCAGCCACCTGCCTCCTGACCCTTTGCCCCCAGCCTCAAGCAGAGTCCTGATGATGGGCTAAGGTCCTGTAGGCATAAGGACCACCCCAAACCCAACCCCCCACCCCCACGCTTCTCACCTGCTTCTGAACGAAGTCCATGATGTTTTTGAAGTCCAGATCATCATAGTAGTTCTCAATTCCTCTTCGAATGTTCTCATTGAGGAAGTCAATGGTCTATTGAGAAATCAGAGGCCACCTAGAGATGGCTGGCAGTCCACACTGCTGCTGCACACTCACCTGCATGTGGCCTCTCTCTCCACTCTCTACCCTGAACCTGAACACAGGACCTGCTCACATACCTCCCCGGCCTCCAATGCGCAGCACACACTGGCATCCTGCTGCGGGGTCCCAGCAGCAGCAACTTGGTCCCTCCCCCTCCCCTTCACTGGCCAGGCCCTGCCCAGGGCCCCTGGCTCAAAAGCAGCTCCCCTCTGGGTTCCTGACCTGTGTTCTCTCCCCACCCCCAGGGACAGAGGTGAGTTGGAATCTTCCCTTTTGTGCTCCTGACCACTCTTCCCCCATCACTCTTCCACCATCTAACCCCCCCCCCCATGCTCCCTGTTTTGAGGACACTAAGATTTGAACTCAAGGTCTCATGCTTGCTAGGCAGTTTTACCACTTGAGTCATCCGCCCTTCCCCTGCACAGATCCGTTTGCTTTATTTTTCAAGTAGAGTTTCACTTTTGCCTAGGGCTAGCCTTGGAGCTAGGCCTTATGTTTGCCTTCCATGTAGTTGGGATTACAGGTATACACCACCAGACCTGGCTTGTTTTGTAGATAGGGTCTCACTAATTTATTTAATCTAGGTTGGCCTGCAACCATGATCCTCCCATCTCTACCTCCCTTATAGCTGGGATTATAGGTATGCACCACCAGACCCGGCCTTCCAACCTTTATTTATGGAAGAGAAAACTGAGGGCCGAGGGGAAGGGGACCTGTAGAGCCTGGAGTAAGGGGCAGCGCAGGAAAGGCAGATGCCTGGCAGGCCAGGAATTCAGGTTCCCTGACACCCTGCACGGACCACTCTCTCCAGCTCAGTGCCCTGACCCGCAGGCCAGGGGCAGGGATGAGCCCCACTGGGAAGAGCACTGGCCCCTGCCTCCGGCAGTCACACTGGCCTTTCTGGATCAACAGCCGGGCTGTTGTGCTGAGATGAGGCGCAGCGGGAAGGCGGGGGTGGCAGAGCAGGCTGCCCAGCTCCAGGCTCACTGGGACAATTGGAGCTTTCAGAGCAGAGGCCAAGGACCGGCAGAGCCTGGGGACAAAGGGACATTCTTGGCCCTGGTGCCAGAGAGAGGGGGCAGACAGGGCCCAGGGCAAGCATCGTGGGTGCACTGGGATGGCAGCCCCCACCCCTTCCAGGCCCTTCGCCTCCCTCTGAGCCTCTATTCCCCACGTGTCAAACAGCTCTGGAGCCTTGCTAGATTGGAGGATCAAAGGCTGAGAGAGGTGAGAAGCCTCCAGGTCAAGGACAAACTCTCACAGCCACCAGGCCACCTGCAAAACCAAGAGGCAAATGCTATGTCTCAGGGGTGTGTCACTTGAGGCTCAAGCCAATTAAAGTTACAAAAGTGTTTAGCCAAGTCCAGGCCTAGTCACTTGCATATTTAATCCCAGATTCTAGGAAGTTGGTGGTCAGAAGGATTGCAGTTTGAGGCCAGCCTGGAGGAAAAATTAGTGAGACCTCCATCTCAACCAACAAGCCAGAAATGATGGCTCGTATCTGTAAGCTCAGCCACACAGGAGGTTGAAGGTAGAAAGATCAAAACCTCAAGGCTCCTACGAGAACCTACCCATGCAATAACTAAAGCACCTCCAGGAGGCACACTGCTTGAAGCCTGATGATGTGGGAATGGCTTGGCACCAGAAGGAAGACCCTGGCTGAGGTGCCCACATGGGCTCTATGAGGCGCTCCGAGCTCACTGGGCACAGCCCTGCCTGGGCCGGGCCCTAGACACCAGGGTGGGGGCTGCGGGAAGCTGCTGCCTGCCAGCCACGCGGCCTGGGCAGAGCCAGGGGCTGCCTGGCCTCAGGCCTGCGTCCCCAGCAGCTGCAGGCCATTCCCAAGCTTGGATGCCTGCGCCTCTGGGTGATGAAGGGGCCAGCCCGCTGACCGGGGTGCGGCTGGGACACCAGGGCGGGGTCAGGTCTGCCACCGAGGAGGGGCAGAGAATGAGCTAAGAGCTCTGAGGGAGGTCACCCAGGGCCACAGTCCCGCCCCACTCCCGACCCTCCCTAGGTCACCCGAGAGGGCGGCCCTGCCACCCCTGAAGCACCCCAGCCTCTCCCCACCAGAGAGTCCTCAAGACTTGCCAGGGGCAGGTACGGACTCCAGGGGAGGCCTGGGTGGGAGTTGTCCTTACTGCTAGAGGCCAGGAGCCTCTCAGAACCCACAGAGGAAAAGACACCGCCCGGGGCCATGGGCAGCAGCTGCTCGGCTCCTAGGGGGAGCCCGTGGGTTGCACTGACACATAGGAGTATGACACACAGGAGTGTGTACATTATGTACATGCACGTGTGTTGTGTGTGCACACGTGTGTTTCCAGGGAAGACAAGCGGGACACTGGTGGCTCCTGAGCTCTGATGCTGAGCTCTGAAGGGGGCAGTGCTGAGTGACAAAGTCCTGCGAGGTGTCCAGGCTGTGCCATTTGCTAACTGTGACATATCTGCTAGCATCACCCTGTCCAGTTCCCCGCAGGGGGTGCGAGGGGCCCGGGAGAGGCACAGCGGGAAGAAGGAACGGCTGTAAGCCAGGTCACGCTGGGAGGCAGCTCCCAAGCGGCCCAGAATACCACCAGGCACCAGTGCTGGCCAGGCCTGGGATGGTCACGTGGCCATGCTGAGTTCAGGAAGCCATGAGCAAGCACACAGCAAAGCCACAGGGCTGGCAGCACACTCTCAGCCTGCAGAGAGTTCAGAGCACGCCATTCTACTTTGCTTTTAGAAGATCTCATTTTTCCCACTTTGAGGCCCCTCAGGGAGGTCTTGGAAGTTTGCAGTGGATGAGGACTTGAAGAAGGGGGACTCCCATAGGCTAGGGGTAGGTAGGGGAAGTCTTCTGGGGATGAAGGCATCCTGGGGCCCCTGACAGCTGCTCAAAGATCTCCAAGGCTTCCCGGGCAGCCTGAGACGCTGGCTTGGCAAGCCAAGCCTCTGGCAGCTCAGCTGTCCCCCAGTCCAGTGAACCCCCTTGGAGGAGAGTGTCCAGCAGGGCCTCCTTCCTTCCTTGTGCCATGTGGTTGCTCATCCTATAGGAAGTAAGGAACTTGTCCTCATGGGCCTAGCCCTGAGAGAGGTGAAGAGAATCCGGGAGTCACAGTGGAAAGGCCCCTTGGAAATACTTTCCAGAGCAGAGCCTTTTTCCGACTAGGCCAATGCCTGTGGAGGGTCCCAGGAGCTTGAGGATACCACCCTCCGTCCCCAGCAGCTCCACATAGAGGGCACACCTGGCGGTCCTGCTAGGCCAGTACAGAAGCTTCTCTACATGGAGAGCCACTGGCAGCCTGGTTCCAGGGAGAGATGGATGTGCGCAGGTGCTCAGACAAGACAGCCAAGGTGCCACGTGTTTCCTCCTGACCTCCAGATGGGCCCAGAACCAGCTAGTGCCAGAGCCAGGGGAGGATACCAGGCTGGGGCTCAGGACCGTGACTTCCTCCTGAGACTGACAAGAGAGGCCGCCCTGTCCCACCTGTCCTGCTGGTGGAGGCGGAGGGAAGGAGACTCAGAAGACAGGATGGACGGATGGAGCAGCTATAGCCCCGTGTCCACTGGGGTCCCTGCCCAGCTGCACCTACCTCTAACACCCCTCACAGTCTCACAAGAACCCCCCAGATGAGACCAGGATGGCAGCAGGGGTCGGGAGGTACAGGGCAGGTGTGGGTTGCTCAGGTCCTCCTCATAGTCAAGTCCCCCCCACTCCTTGCTCTCTGATCTAGGTGGTGCCCCACCCCTGCCCCAGAGCAAACTCTGCTCCCCCACATGCTCAGACTCAGAAAAGACACTTCACCCAACCACTGGAAGGTTTCTCCTCAGCATGGTCTGGCTTTTCTGCTTAAGGCTAGTGCTCTACCACTTGAACTTTTTGGTGGTTAATTGGACTTTTCTGCTTGCGCTGGCTTCAAACTTCAATCCTAGGTAGGACTCCATTGATATGATAGGAACTGCCCCTCCCCTCGGACTCACCCAATAGGAAGCAGACCCTGGGTCTCAGGGGTGTAGACTACTTATGATTAGGTCTCACTACTGGAGAGCCCAGAAAAGCAGGCACTGTCCTTGCTTCCACCTGCTCGCACCCATGAAGAGTGGGGCAGGGACCAGACCCCACGCTGTTTGATGGCTCTGTCCAACCCAGGGGCTGGGATGGCTATTAGACTCTACTTGCAAAAAGAAGGATGAGCTGTCCATAAATAACCCAGATGCCCAGTCCCCAAAGCAACTGCAAGGATAGGAGCCACACTGGCTAGGTGCATGGGTAGGTACGGGATCGGGGCAGGGGTGTGTGTGGGGGGGAACAGAAGCCTGGACTTCAGCACTGAGTCCCTGCCCAATACTCATCACTAACACCAAAGCAGAGGAAGACAAGGATAACAAGAAATGATGGAGTCCAGTGGAAAGTCAACCCCACCCCAATACTGGCTTCTTATGGAAGCTTGGGCTAGGCCAGCCCTCTGCTATTTGAGTCATAATTCCCAGTCCTTTTGTTGTTGTTGTTGATGTTTGTTTGTTTGTTTTTATGGATAGTGTACTAACTTTGCCAGGGCTGACCTTGGACTTTGAGCCTCCTATGTCCACTTTCCAAGTAGCTAGGGCCACTGATTTGTACCATCAATACCCAATACATCTTTGACTAAAAAGCCCAGGCTGGCCTTGAAATGATGAGATCTTCCTATCTCCACCTCCTGACTAGCTGGATTACAGGCATGAGCCACTGCACCTGGATACAGAGTCATTACTTTAGACAATCTTCACCCAAACTCCGTGAACTAGGAATCATGATCCTTGTAGACTGTAAAATTGCCAAAGCAGCGCCCTCTCATCCTCTCTCTTCCCTCACTCCTGTACCCAGCACACAGTCTAAGATGTATACCAAATCCTACCATCTCTACCCAGGCTGCCCCCCAAGCCACTGTCCCCTCCTCCCTGATCACCACCTCCTCCCAGCTGCCCTCCTAGGTTGCCCCTGCTCCCCCACCTCCTGCACAGAATGGAGTGCACATGGGGTCATACCCTTTCCCCACACAGACTTTCCATAGGCTTCTACTGTCCCCCAAAGCACCCTGAGTTCCTAACAAGTAGATTACAGAAATGAAATGAATCCTGGGTCAGTCAATCAACCCATCCTCCATCTCCTTCCCCATCATTACTCACACTGTCATCTACGAGCTCAGCCCTGCTCAGTGGTCCCTTCTGCCTACAACCTGGCTGGCTGGATCTTTTACTATCCTTCACCATCCTCCAGGTCATCCTGCTTCACTGTCTCATTTGCTGGTTCAGTTAATCAGTGCAAGGTACAAGCCCCAGGGGCACTTCCACCTGCTCACACAGTGGGTGCCCAGTGTACAAGTAGCTGATGATAACTCACCTGGTTCCGGAAGATCAAGGCCACTACGCCACCAATGAGTTCCATTATGAGGCAGATGCCAAGGACGTACATAAACTGGAAAACAAAATTCGGAGATTGGCCTGGAGAGAGTCAAGGGGAATGGGGGGGGGTGTCATGTACACAGGTCAGGAATGATAGGGAGAGTGGCTTCTATGGCTGGCTCCAGGCCAGCTGCTTTTCCTTCTTGAGGATACAGGACATGGACAGCTGTGTCCCAGAAGGCCTGTCTCTGGAACCAAGGGGCAGGAAGAGTGACTATTACCCACGTTTGTCCCAGGGGCCCTCACCAAGGCCTGGGTGGATAGCTACCCTTCCTCCACCAGCAACTGGAGAGCTGGGCCTGCTCCAGTGCAGCCTGGCTGGCAGTGTTCCAAAACATGCAGAAATGGCTTTGCAAGCAGCCCCGATTGTGGGATGGGCACATCTAAGCTTAGCGGATACAGCCAGCCCTTTCTCAAAGAGCAAGCATCAGCTGGCCACCAATGGCTCATTCCTGTAACCCTAGCTACTTCGGAGGCTGAGATCTGAGAGATCCCTTCTGGGTTAAGGTCTTCCACCACAGGAAGTCAAGAGGGTAACCAAGGCTACTAAGCTGAAGTTTGAAAGTCATGGAACAGCCCAGCACTGATGGCTCATGCCTGTAATGCTAGCTACTCAGAAGGCTGAGAGCTGAGGATTAAGGTTTGAAGCCAACTTGGGCAACAAAGTCTAGAAGACTCTCATCTCCAATTAACTGCTGAAAAACTGGAAGTAGGGCTGTGGTAGAGTGGTGAACTAGTCTTGTACAACAAAGCTCAGAGATAGTGCCCAGGCCTTGAATCCAAGCCCCAGGACATACTTTCTCTCCCTCCCTCCCTCCCTCCCTTCCTCCCTCCCTTCCTCCCTCCCTTCCTCCTTCTCTCTCTCTCTCTCTCTCTCTCTCTCTCTCTCTCACACACACACAGACTAAGCATCATCCATACTAATTCTGAGGCTGGAAGCTGGACTATGGGTTGGACTATAAGGGTTTCATGTATGAAGGGAGACAAGAAAGGCAGAACACACAGGAGAATGGACTGGATCTGGGCACCTGGCACCCCTAGCCCCTCACTTTCAATACAGGGGTACAAATTGGAGTGACTACACCCTCTGACCCCAGGATGGATGCAAGCCTGGCCAGGCCCAGAGGGCCCTGAGCATGGCCAACACTTCCAGAAACTATGCCTTAAGATTAAAAGCATTAAGGAGAGCTGGGATGGAGGTCTGTGGGAAGCACTCTCCTAGCAGCCCAGCATGCAAGGCATGAGCACCATCAAGAAAGATGACCCAGCCTTGTCCAGCGGGCACTGTCTGAACCCATAGGTTGGCTGGCAGCAGGAGCTGATGGTTGCTCTCCTGAGTGTGGCTTCTCCTAGGGCAGCCAGAAGCCCAGATGAACAGTAATGGTAAGACAAACAATATTCAAATTAGCTTGCATATGCAAATGTAGCTGTGCTCCCTCCACCATCTAGAAAACACTCCACAGGGGCTGGGGTGTGAGAAAGAGTTCAGGACCCAAGCTGCCCAGGGCCCAGGGGCCCCACAGCCACCTCCCTCCTCCCAGCAGGGGGGGAGGCAGCCCTGACTCACCGCTTGGAGAAGGCACAGGTTGTCCCGGAGGGAAGCCAGCACCCCAATAAAGGAGACGATGAACATGACGACTCCAAGGAGGATGAGGATGATGGCCGGAGCCAGGAAGGCACTTTCCAGTGTTTTGTACTTCTGTCGCTCAACCTCCGCGTAGATCCCCACAGATAGGACCAAACCCCCGATCAGCTACAGCAGAGGGCAGCGAGTGAGACAAGGGGCGGCAGGTCACCACTGATCTTCCTCAACGAGCTCATCTAGCCAGGCATGGTGGCTTTGTAATCCTGGCTCGTCAGGAGGCAGAGATCTGGAGGACAGTGGTTTGAGCACAGGCTGGGCAAAAAGTTAGCAAGATCCCATCTCATCAGCAAGCTGGACCTGGTGGCATATACCTGTCATTCCAGCCATGAGTGGCATCATACAGGGGGGAGGAATGAGTAGGAGGATACTGATCCAGGCCAGCTTAGGCAAAAATAAATAAATAATATACAATAAAATGATATAAATAATATAAAATATACACACATGTATAATATATATGTGTGTACATATATGTGTGTATGTGTGTGTATATGCATACATGACCCTATCTGAAAAAATAACTACAGAAAAGGGGGCTGGGAGTGTGACTTAAGTGGCAGAGCACCTGCCTAGTAAGCACAAGGCAATAAATTTAAACCCCAGGACCACACACACACACACACACACACACACACACACACACACACACCATCT